CAATATAACCACGATGTCAGCATCCAAGAGCCTAGTGAAAAACCTGCTCGTAATTTCGTCGGTTAAAGACCCCGATGGGGTGCATGCAGCTATAACATGACTAGTGACGACGTTGATCCGTGATAATCTGGGGTACTAGAAAAGGTACAAATAACCATGATGGGGTAACGCCAATCCCTACCTCCGCAGTCTACGCATTCATCAACCATGGCGCTCGCTGCAGCACTCCTCCTCGGACTCAGTCAACTTCAGCTAGTGACTGCTGTCAGCTCTCTGCATATCGACACATCTTCTGGACCGGTTGAAGGCTTTACAGATGACATCACACCAAACGTCGCACAGTACTTGGGTATACCCTTTGCCGAACAGCCTGTGGGAGCCCGACGCTGGTTGCCACCGGCTCCAAAGTGCAGAGCGAACGAGACGCTCAAAGCAACCAACCTCGGCCCTTCTTGCCCCCAGTTCGAGGGCGATGCACCTAATGTCTGGCTGACGGACGCGCCCGAATTCATCATCTCGCCACGCGACTACCAGTCAGAGGAATGTCTGAACCTCAACGTCTGGGCTCCTTTGTCCACCTGTGAGACCGATAAAGATGAGTCGGAGCCGTTACCGGTCCTGGTCTGGATTCATGGTGGAGGTTTCGTGACGGGCGGACCAACGGTGCCCTACCAGGTTCCAGCCAGATGGGTGGAACGAACAGGAAAGCACATTGTCGTTGGGATCAAGTAAGTCTAGCTCAATTCATATGGACCCATCCCATGTCTTACCAACACCACAGCTACCGTTTGAACATCTTTGGCTTTCCCAATGCCAAAGCCCTTGCCGATGGCGAACAGAATCTGGCCTTCCTAGATCAGCGTCTCGCTCTAGAGTGGATGTAAGTGTGCATACATGAACTTGTAATGGATCAGTTTATCGTACCCATCTCTTCTTCTTGGATCTATAGCTTCTTAAAGTCATGGATCAGAAACTTACTTATCTTGCAGCCGCGACAACATAGCCAACTTCGGTGGTGATCCAGATCGTATTACGCTCTGGGGCCAGTCTGCAGGTGCCATCTCTGTCGATTACTACAACTTCGCTTATCCCGAAGACCCTATCGTCTCGGGCCTGATCATGAACTCTGGATCGTCTTTCCTATCCATCGCAACCGCTGATACCCAGCAAACGAACTTCACCTTCGTCGCTCAACACTTCGGATGTAACGAGACCGACGCCGATGCCGAAATCGACTGCCTGCGCAAGATCGAATCGAGTGACATTGAAAGCTTCTTGAAGGAATACTCTGACAATGGTACTTCGCCGGGTGTGAGATTCGTCCCAGTGATCGACAATGTCACGGTTTTCTCCAACTACACGGAACGCGCTCAGGCCGGAAACTTCACGCTCAAACCGGCGATCATTGGCACAACAGATAACGAGGGTAGCGCCTTCCCCGCATACAACGCGACATACGGGCCACCCCAGGCTGAGGCCGACGCTGCAACTGCTTCAAACTTCCTCTGCCCAATTGTGAAGACGACCTACGATCGCATGGCAGCCAACACGACTACCTTCCGCTACCTGTATGCCGGAAACTTTAGCAACATTGCACCTCGGTTCTGGCAGGGTGCATTCCATTCGTCTGATCTTCCGCTATACTTCGGTACTTACGGTATTGCAAGAGGCAACGGTACCGATTTCGAAAGGCAGGTAAGCGAGCAAGCGCAAGACTACTACCTTGCTTTCGCGGAGGATCCAGTCAACGGGCTACCCAAACTGGGATGGGAAGCCTACAAGTCCAGTGGTGAGGGAGTGTTACTTGGTTATGATGGAGAGGTTACGCAAAGCATCGCGGCAAGCGAACTAGAGAGTGCGTGTGATGGACTGGAGCCGAATGGCAACCCCCTGCCGCCGTTGTGAAAGAACACGACTCGGGCTTCTTGTAGGATTGCGGCGTAGCGAGAGCGTCGTGGAAGACCAAGAGCTTGTTATTCCAGTTATTCCGCATGAATCCCACAATATGATACATTTTCGAGATCTCCTGCGCCGCTTCATTCATTTACATGCAAGAGATCGATCGCACCACGTCGGCTCAAGAACCGTTTCCCCGCCTTCCTTCGCTTATCTCTCATCTTGCGTATCGAGCTCGGTAGAAGGTCCAAATGTAGTCTCAGGCATAAGCCTACAGACATGGATATACGCAACAGATGCTCAGTAACCGTAACGAGATTTGAGAAAGTTCGGCTACAGCACCCCATGCCGACCTCCATATATAGCTCAAGCCACCCGGTATACCAGGCGTTCTCGTAATATAGCACGGCTCCATGAAACCGAAGACCCTGGACCCTTGTCATCTCTGATCTGACAGCGGCCCGTAAAAGCAACTCGGCTTCTCATGCACGTCGTTCACACATGGACAGCCACCAAAAGACGGCTCGGTGTAACCGATATGAGATATTCACAGGGGTTCACGGTTGCTTCTGGGCGATTAGCGACTGCGCCATCGATGTATCTGCGGGACTAGGTGCGTGATGCGACGATCGCCGATTGCGACGTGATAGCTGGGGGAGCGTGCATGGAGGGTGAAAAGCAAAGTGTGGCGTAGTCGTGGCGTATTGGGACATGCGAACAACCCTACACATGCATTTGAGATGCAAACAACCCAAGCACCGGAAACGGTTAGACGTATTCACAGTCAAGTAACGGGAATTGCTGATCTAAGGTATGCATGAAGTTGACAGTGGCTGGTGCGCGAGCGCAAAGCGTGACACGTGTCTGTGGCTTCGACGTGTGGCTTTCACTGCCACTGCGGGGTTCAACCTTTGCACTTGCCGCATAGCGTGTTTGAGAAGTGACGTCAACCTGGAGCTTCCAAGATCAGGTAGCAACAAACAGGAACGACACGTGGTGTAGCGTTCCAATTGACGAGCTTCAAAACTGGTTGACAGTCCTTTAACCAAACTCTCTACTTTACGAATCCCCTAACCCCTTGAACACGCACTGCCCGCTAAGAGCTACTAGACCTACCAGCTCGACAGCTACTAGCAAACCGAATACAAAGACGGATATTCTCATTGCACATCATGGCTAACCAGGCGCCCGCATCTCTCGTGGAAGCGTTGACAGCCTCTGGTGGTGCTGAGCCAGCTGGTAAATGCCACTTCCAAGCCTTCGTCCGCCGAATGTCGATGTGATCAATGATCAATGCCGCGATGGACGCACGCTCGCTCATTGATACCGACTTTGGGCACGAAACATGCTAACTCGCATGTACCAGGCTTCCTCAACGACATTGTCAAGAACCTCTGGCCGAACATCTGCGTCGCAGGCTCCAACATCATTAAAGACACCGTCGAACCTATTCTCGCCTCGACACTACCTGGCCCTCTGAAGAACCTGAAGTTTGTCAAAATCGATTTTGGTCATATCCCCATCGGCTTCTCCAACGTCGATGTCCACAAGACCAAGAATGACGGCATCAAGCTCGATATGGACATGACCTGGGAGGGTGTGTGTGACTTTGAGCTTGATGGTAGCATGGTGCCTAAAGTGGTATGTTTTGGGCGTAATGGAAGAAGTCGCTCAGCTTAGCTAACATGGTATGCAGGGTGTTGAGAAGGTCCACATGAAGGGCCGAATCAGCGTGCTGCTATGCCCTCTAGTAAACATCATCCCACTGGTAAGCCCTTACACCGTCTCGCGTGGCAACGAGTTCTATACTAAAGAAATCTCCAGATCGGCGCAGCACAAGTCGCCTTCCTCAACACCCCAAGCCTCAAGCTCGACTTCACCGACGCCGCCAACATTGCCGACTTCTCTGTTATCGACAGCACCGTCCGCAAGACCATCCTCGGCATCATCGATAGCATGGCCGTGCTCCCCAACCGCTTCCTCGTCAAGATGATGAACGACGTCGATTACTTCAAGTGCCACCAGCCCCACCACGGTATCATCCGCATCACAGTCGCCCGCGCAACTGGGATTAGTGCTCCCAAGAAGGGCGAGAAGAAGAGTACCATGAGGAAGCTTCTTTCCAAGGTCAAGCTCGAGGACGTACCAGATTGCTACGTCAAGGTCAAAGTAGGCGCGGAAGAAGAGTGGAAGACGAGCGTTGTGGATAACAACCACGAGCCAGAGTGGAACGAGACCCATGACTTCTTGGTCTCAGACTTCGAGCAGGATATCACCGTAGACATCCAGGACGATGACTTGGCGGGTGATGACGACATCGGTATTGGCTCCACCAGTGTCAAGGAGATTCTTCTCAAGGGCGGTTCGCAAGATTTGGAGCTCTCGCACAAGGGCGATGCTACTCAAGCGCGTCTCCTGATCCACGCCAAATTCTTCAACTTCGTCAACGACGCACAGGTTCTTTCTTCCGCCAACGCACAGGGCCAGGCTGAAGGCCAAGTCTGCGGTCTAGCCACCGTCCTCATTGCCAGCGCTGGTGGCCTCCAGGGCAACCGCGACGAGCTCAACCCCAGCGTCAAGGTTACCTGGGGCGACAAGACGTTCCAGACCGCAGTCAAGACCTACACTCCCGGCACTGACATCTTCAACCCTTCGTTCGACCAGGCGTTCCGCATTCCACTCACTGCAGCTATGCTTGCGAACCCTGGTGCTTTCAAGATTGCGCTACTGAACAAGGACGTAGAGTTTGGAAGTGCGCAGGTGGGCTTCCAGGATGTTATGGGTGCGGAGGGTATGGCTGTGCACGACACTTTTGATGTCGGAAATGGCGCAACTATTAGGGCTGCGGTTATCTTGAATGGTGCTAAGTTGGCTGAGTAGGGTGCCAGTCGACGATGAGAGAACGGTTTGATGGGGACTATACATAGCATGATGAACCTGCGAGCTGCATATCAATAGCAATGAAGACATGAATAACGGCATCTTTAATGTATGTAAATTGATCGAAACGCCTTGCTGAGATAGTCGCGCTTTGTCGTAATGGCACACACACACACACACACACACACACACACTCACTCACTCACGTCTTACGCGGCGCGCAATCACATCGTCGCCCCCGCCGCCGTCTCCCCATCAACATCCAAAATCGCACATTCCTCATCATCCTTCGGCTTCACCAACTTGATGCTGACTTCAGGATCCTGACTATACACCCTCAAACCCAACACGCAGACTGCATTCCACGGCTTGGGCTGTTGCGTTTGAGGAACGTCTTGTGGAGGTGGAGCTCCGCCGTAAACATGGTTCCCCCGGGGATGGGGATATCTGCGGAAGTCTGGCGGTGGTTGGGAGTGGAAGCGTTGTGGGGGTGGGAATTGTTGGTTGGGGCTGTGGGGTCGCGGGGATTGGGATGGACTGAAGTAGGGGTCGTTGGGGAAGGTTTCGGAGGTGGGTGTGTGGTCTCCGCCGCTGTTGTTGCTTGGGTCGTGTGGTTCGAGTGCGGGCTCTGTCTTGTCTGGGGTGTCTTTTATTTGGATTGTGAGGTTGGCTGGGGCGTTTGGCTTGTCGTCTGTGTCCGATGAGGTGGGTGGATCAATGTCATGGCCAGTATTATCAGGCGCATCCGTCGCAGTAGTTTGCTCCGGGGGCGAATCTTTGTCTTCCGTTGCTTCCTCAGACTTGCCCACCTTCCCAGCGTTTTCTTTTGTCTCGTGCTCGTTCTTCTCTTTCTTCCAGGCCTCGTACTCGGCTTTCTTTTCCTTCTGCCACGCTTCAAATTCCGACTTTTCCTTTCTCCAAGCTTCGAATTCTGCCTTCTCTTTCTCTTTCGCCTCCTTTTTCTTCATCTTCTTCTCAGCCGCCTCTTTCTTTCTCTGTTCCTTCTTCTTCTGCTCTTCCTCGGATAGCTCGAAGATACCTTTGGCATTTGCGATATCGTAGTTGAGACCAATCTGCCTGAGCTTCTGCGGATTGCGTTCCGCCAGCTTAGTGACAACCTCCGGAACGTCTGGAGCATCTTTGTTTCTCGATGCTTCGATCTTTGGCAAGACTTCGTATACTCCGGCTTCAAGGTCAACTTCGGCGGAAATGCTACGATTGCCGAACCAAGCACCCCGAGCACGTATAATGTAGTCGCCTGCTGCAGAACCCTGCTCTTGCAATATGAAGTGCAAGTCGAAGTCGTACTTGCCTTCTAGACCCTTGAAGTAGCGCTCATCCAGCTTTTCAGGGTCAGTATATCTCATTATAAAGGATGCTTTACGACTTACCTGACATAACACGAAGACGGTCGGCCCTGATGTCTTGATCTCGACCGAGAACTTCGTGTTCACATAACCGGTAACCCATGCTACCGGTACGCTCGTCCAGCGCTGCACTACAGTCCAATCCTCATTGAAGAGCCGCGTGCGGTCAAGAAGATCAAACCTTTTCAGCAGATCTTCGTAAGACATCCAGAACAGGCCATCGTCTCCAAATTTGTGGCCCAACTTATCTATCCAATACGCCGTCCATTCCCGAGAGCCGTCAGACCAGGGACCAGTCCACTCGCCCATGCCAGCATGGACTCGTTTGCCCCAAGGATTACGTATCAACACAAGTTGATATTTGGTACCGTCCTCATCCTCAGCATCGACTGCCTTCAATATTGAATAAGCGTGGCTCAGGGCAAGCCCCCTTCGAGCGTCTGAGTCATCCCCATCCATGCCAGGTGAGGAGGCTGAGAAGAGGAATTCCTTGCCAGCTTGAAGCAATTCTGCCCACAGTCGTTTCTTACTCAGGACGCGATCCGTAAGAATCTTCGTTGTGACGCCTCCTGTCAGGTCTTCCACCGCTTCGCCACTGCAACCACCAGCAATAGCATCATAGTCTCCGTGCACTGTAAGCTGGTTAGCAATCTCAAACATACTCCAAACGACCGCGGCTGACAGGAAACGCGCATACCTTTAGCGTAAGCCTTCTCTAACAGCGGTAGCCATGTCTCATTCTCGTCAACACAAGATGCGAAATAAAGCGCTTCGGATCCAGTCTGGTTGTTCTTCTTGTATTTCTTCTCCTTGGCGTTGGCCGGGTCATACTGATCACCAAAAGCGGTGTCAAAATCGCTGCATTCGAGGTACAGGTTGTCGTCAATGACTGTCCAGATCCACTCGCCATCTCTATAGAAGACGAAGCCATAAACGCCACACTCCTCGTCTCTAGCAACACAGATCTTGTTCATTAGAACGGGATTGCTGCATATAGTCGCAACAGCAGCAATGAACCAGCAGTCGCCATTTGAGCCTTGTCTGAGGTCAGAGCTGGAGAAGCCATCGAGTTCGAATTGCGGGTTTTCGAAGATCCAATCGACGCGATGCACAGAATTGGGACCATCTTTACTGCTGTTCGGCCTGTTGGTGAGGAGCTTGGCTGTAGCTGTAAAATCGAACACCGCGCCATCAGACATGACTACCCCACTTTGGACCAGCGTGGAGAGAGCGTTGCCCAGCCGCACGGGGCTAATTTGTGGATTTGTTGATTTTGCTGGCTCCTCTTTGAACCAACTCATAAGGCCTTGTAAACAGTTCTTTGACGACGAATCTTCAATGTCAAAGTCGGCATCGGTAAATTTCTCATTTGTACGATGGCATTCTTTGACGACACGGGCAACGCGAGCGCGACATTGCGCAGCGGCCGCTTCATAGGATTCAGCTGCATTCTTTCCTGTGACGGTCCCCTCTTTACGCTGCGTAGGCAGTAGATGCGCGTACAGACTCGGTGGGAAGATCTTGGTCACCTTCTCGGGTCGCTTCGTGATGAGATTGTCCCAGAATTCGTTGATGACCTCCTGAGGTGCGCCGGTTTGTGTATCCTCGCATCTCTCAGAGGCCATGGTTGCTTTTTCTCTGCGGGGCCCGGGCATCTGTAACGCTGTGGCTGAACTGTTTTGCTCGAAAGCAATTATGACTGTTTAATCAGGGGACGATAGCGGAGACCTGCTTGAAAGCGAATGCGAACACAGAGGGAAAGGGGAGGAGATGAACATGTGTTGAAGGTCCGTCTGCACTGGCACGTCGACTATAATGTGTCTTGTCGGTTTGGGGGCCGTATCGTCAGATCTGCAGTATTGGCTGCTTACGGCTGCCTGCGGCTGAACATAACGTCCATCTGGCTCCAATAGCATCTCTGGCGCATGCCAATGCGTCGTGCGAATGAAAGCTTGTCATCCCATGGCGATTGTGCTGCTGCTGCAAGTTCCGCAACGCACGACAAGGCTGTCGCTCTCTGCGCAAGGCAGCATCGCAGGCAGTGACAGCGGCGACCGAGAACGGGTGGGATGTGAAGCGTGAGGCCTAACGCAGAGTAAGCGGTCCAGTTGTTGGTCAAAGTTTGTATGCAGAGTGTGTTCTAGCGCAGGCCACGAGATGGGCCGGGGCGCTGTGGCTGGAAGGCGCGGGGCAGGCTGGGCAAAAGGGGTGGCAGGAGCGAGTTTCGCGTCCCCCAACCCTTTTGGGCACTTGTCGCAGAACACCAACTTCAGATCTTATGATCCCATCGACGTCCTTATTCCACTGGCCATATATGCACGACATGCGTCCTGCAGGCGCATGATTATATATCGACTGAGTGACAGGTCGCCGCCTGTGATGCGATTGGTAGGGTCGTCTTCCGAGATCTCTCGGTGCGCCTTCGGAACCTTGCGATGTTGCGAAAAGCGATGCTGAAATATGGTCTGATAAGTTAGCTCCCCTGTCGGTACTGGCAGATACGCAACATGCGATGCTCCAAGCTGATGAAGACTTGCGTTGTCCATCTATCTCTTGCCGGCGGCAATCGTGTCGCTCTTCATCAAGCAGGCCCGAATAGGGCAATCGTATCCACCACCTTGTCTTCCAACTTTTCTGCGAGACGAGAAGACGGCTCGCAAGAACTACGGCTCTTGGGCTCTGCGATGCGCGCTGAAACTACAACTGTTGGACCCTTGGACAGCACGTCCATGCCCAGATGTCTTGCGTAGTCGATCGGGAATTGTGGGTCTTTAAAGACAGAGCAATCGGTACCAGGCGTGTTTGGCGACAACATCGCGCTAAGTGTCTAACTCATCGCTTGGCTCACAGCTGTCTGGAAAGTCATGTTTGGTAACAGTATGCTAGTCATATGTCACTTACTAACAAAGGATTGCACTGCGCATACCAACCTTGGAACCCGATGAGATGCGCGGCACCGAGACGAGGCGGAATCCTACGGCGGTGCCGTTAATACGATGAGCTAATTTCAATGTGAGAACACGACGATTGCCGCAGCTCTTGCCGCAAACTGCAGAAGATGGACGGGCCGGTGTATTCGATCTGGTTATGATATGAAGTAGTCTACTAAGCCGCCAAGGCATGCCGCCTCATGGGTATGTGAAACAGCAACCCCACCCATAGGCGTCTAGATGTACATGTAGCTAGAAGAGAGAGACGAGATAACAATCCTGGACTCCCAATAGTACCGAATAGTGTGTGAAGAATTGAGGACATTATGACTTGCTGGTTTGCACCGGTCGTTGTACTGTAAAGCGACAAAAGGGACAAGAAGCCGTGTGTGGATGTCGGCCGTGGTATAGTTGAAGAAAGCCTGGTATCGTAGGATCTGACAGACGGGTCACAACGGCAATCGCCATCGGCCTTGCTGTGCAGGCCCTGGCGAGTCTGAAACCCTTGCAAAGCGGGTACCCCTTTGCTTCTGTCTAGCGAGTCGTAAAATCCATTCCTGCAAGGAAGCCTGCCGTTTCGAGATATAGTCGCCAGCGACGGCGACGTGAAAAGTAGAGATGCCTGAACGCCATGCTGAGGTAATAAGGCTGACGTGAAAAATGATGATGAAAACCGTAGCGGAGATGGGTGGTGTGTGATGATGTGGGAGGGTCGTCAGCCGCCAATGACAGCTCGCGTGCATCTGGGAACCGGGATCTCGGGTGCTTTGGATCGTAGTTGGCGATCTGTGCATTCCATCTGCAGTCAACGAGTCAGCACCTACATACATGTTGCATCTTACGAATGATCCCTCGCAACACCTTGGCACGTGCCGTAAGTCCAAGGTGGCATTCCTAGCGGAGGGAGAACCTGATGGAAGGGATTGTTGGACTTACCTATGCTTTGGCGGCGCAAGGCCGACACGTCTTGAGCTTGCATTGCTCGCACTCATAGATGTGAAATAGTCCAGGCGTGTGACATAGTTGGCAGTTCCAGACGACGAGAGTAGTGTCGGACTTGATCAACTTGAAGTTGTGTGTGCAGGTTGCGGGGCGGGCCATGGTAGTGAAAGAGTATTGGTGGGAAGCGTGGGATCAACGGGAACGACTGTCTGGCTGGTAGTGTGAGATACAGATACTGGGGCACGAAGGCTAGATATAGAGAGCGAGGTGAAGTACTCACCTGTATGCTTGCGGCAGGATACCGGTTGAGGCTAAGGTAGGATCGGACTCGAAAGCGAGGGTGTTCAGGGTAAGTCGATTCGTGGCTGGCAAAAGCAAGCAAGGCTTGGAATGAGACCGACGTCGGGTGAGGGTTGTTTACTGGAGAAGGAACGATTTCAGGGTTTGCTTGTTGCTACTGTGAGGACGCTAATGACGCGGATCTGTAGTCCGTCTTATACTGACTCTCAGAGATGCTGGCCCAATGGAGAATAAACTTTAGCTACAGGAAGAGCTGAGTGCATGTCCACCAGGCGCGGCAGTGTGCAACACGCAGCAGCGTGTAGCCGTCTCGAGGTTCTGCTCTCCTGGACAGAGAGAATCCAAAGCGGATGGCTGCTGCACCGATGGAGCAAAAGACGTACTCGATGGTAGCACAGGCAGGCCGGCTGGGGATCTGCTCCCTCTCCTCCAATATGAGGCCCTCTCAAAGAGACGGGCGTGGTGGGGTTGGTCAAACGCGGGCTGGCCGTTCCGCAGCCGCGGCCATGGTAGCATCTTGACGTCGCGAAGCCCCTGGTGCCGTAGCAGGGAAGGGCGCGATGTGAATGTTCCGAGATGCTTCGAGGATAGCGTTGCCGAATTCTATGTGTCACACCAAACCGTGCCTGCATGCCGCAATTCTCTCATGGCACCTGTGCAGTCTGCTGCATCGAGAGATGCTGGCTGCGGTCCAACTAGGGTCCCTTTTCGGCGTCCAATCCGGCGCCTCTCTGTGCACTGGAATGCGGAAGGAGCTTAGGGCGCATGGCGTCGGCAAATTTAGCTTCGCGCCTGCCATGGCTCAGGCTGCTCCTTCCCCAACGACGTGCCCGGCCTCGTCACGAAGTTTTTGTTTTTCGCCAGCTCCTCGTGAACCCCGGAGAATAGACGCACGCCAATCACATACCTAAGTTCGCTATCCTGTCCGACACCATGAACGATGCGTCCGGCACCATCGTGAGCCGCATGGGCTGTCCAGCGTCCCAGACACCAGCTGCCCAAAACGTCGTCCTGCATGCGCCTCCACCCCGTTTCTTGTCCGCTCCACCTGTCTTCTTTCTTTCACCGTGCCGTCATGACATACAGCCCTCCACTGCAACGTCTTCCTGAGCCAGCGCCTAGTGTCTGCTGCGATACACGAACTTGGACCATCTCCTCTCCGGTATGCGTCCGCTCTCTGCATTGAGAAGTGCCGTCGGCACTGTCGCCGGCCTTGCCCTACGCAGAATACGCGCAGCAACTGATGCAGGTCGGTGCATTTGGTCTTGTCTCTGCCTGCTGCGTCAAGTCGACCTCCAGCCAGGTTCAGCTCGTCCGCACGGCTACATGCAGCCTTACATTGCGTTTCCTGCTGTGGCGCGCAGATCCACTCATGGCCGGCAAATAGGTCTGCGTCGATGTCGAGATTCTGCATGCCATGTCGAGGGCATACTTGGACCAAAGCAGCAAGCACCATACAGGTGGCTTGCGGGAGATCCACTATCAGCTCTATCGACATTGCTTGCTTCTGCGACGCGCACTCATGACGTTCCGTTCTAGCATGTAATCTCGTCCCTCGAGTATCGGAACTTAGAGTCATGTAGCAGTAACATCAGCATTGTAATCACTCGCAATTGTCAGAGACACCCCTGACTGGCTTCCATATCTGAGGCCTTTATATCCGTATCGGATGCCTTGATATGCGTATCGGATGTATCTGTCAGGAGAAGCTCGGTCATGGCTTGCTGGTTTGCGATCCTACCTGTCAGGGGGCATCTGCGCAACGACTTGAACCCCACCAACGCGCTGTTCGTGGTCCTGTTGTTCCTTTTCACATCGACTACAACACCGTCTTCCCTTTGATGACATGACATGATCTGATTCATTGCTGGCAGATCTCATCATTTGCTAAAAGCATTTCCGAGGTCGGGACGTGGCGTTCCAGCGGCCTACCCGGCCACAGGCAGATGATCAGAGCTAGGTCCGGCGCATCACACCCTCCTCTGTGTACCACATAAGCCTTGATGGTACCTGACTGGACATCACGACGGGAACTACGTTTTGGAGGCGGTGGTGGGAGCTCTACACTCGCTTGGACCCATTGGTTACACCGGATCGGAGTGAACCTGGCGCTCGGTGCCACAATGCAAGATCGCGACAACCATCACGTCCGCCTGTGATCATGGCGCCCGTGTGGCGTCCTGCGTGTGGACGAATGCGCGTGAGCTCCAGACGGGGTGACTTCCCCTTCTCGCTAGCTCCATCGCCCACCGCAAGCACGCCAAGCACGCTTGGCTCACACCCACGCGACCTCTCAAATTCTACCACGGCAAGCGCTTGCGGGGGCTTTCGCTAGCTGCTCAAAAAGCCGCGTTCGCAGCGAGCCTCCAGGTTTGTGGCTTGACACCATGCATCATGGCACTCAGACACTCCTGTAACGCGACCTAATTTCTCAACCATGCAGCTTCCTGTGT